GCTGTACGATCTTCTGTGGAGAGGGCTGGTTTATCTCTCTCCGCTCTTCTTTTTCTAGATGAAACGGAAGTGACCCCACAGGGTGTATATCCATACATGTTCGTTAACCTTCATTTGTGCGCGCATACTCATCGTTTTATACAGCTGGCCCCGCGCCTGGGCTTGGAGTAATTTCCTCGACACATATCGGTATTGCAATCCACATCCCCACGCATCCGGAACTCCCGAGGAAATCGAATAATTAACTCTCCACTACTTCTACTATATAGGGCGTCTCCATCGTCATGCCCAAACCGCTCGACTGATGCATATGGCACCCGGGTTACGAGTCTTTCTCGCCAAAATTTGGGGAATGCTCCTTGATGAAGATCCATCCCCAGCATTGGAAGATTTGTGCTCCTTCATTGGGAAACCCGAAGCCATATCGACCACGACTCATATCGAAGAATTTGCGGAGGGATGTGGGGGAACCCTCTCCGATTTGGCACGGCTCGTGGTCAAACACATCACCTCGGCCACCATCAAAATAGAGTCCGAAGTATCCCGCACTGGTTTATTCTTGCTGCATTGCGGCCTTGAATTCGTGGTCGGTAGAGATTTCGAAGCTCGCTACCAAGATTTTTATGCGGCCATCGTCTCTCATGGAATAGTAGCAGCAACCATCCACGCTGTGAATGCACTCGAAAAAATCACCATTAACGGAGTCCCCGCCGTCCTGCAAAGTTGCTTCCTCCTCCTGGATTGGTCATTCCACGTCGGTGATCGCCACCGCTGGACCACTGAGGCACTCGAGGCGGGTCTTTTGCGCGCGATCGTCTCATGCGCCGCCCACCAATGCGCCCCCACTCCGGCCACCCGCCGGTGCTTGGAAAAGCTGCTGACTGTAGCTTTACCGCCATCCTTGGTGTATCACTCCATCCTGTCAGTTGCCCTGGGCTCATTCGTTGCGGTCAAGGACTTGGTTCAGAACGAACGTTTTGTGCAGTCCGAAATATTCGTTGAATGGCAGGCGTTTAAGGATTTGTTTCAGGAGCGTCTCAAGATGCTAACCCGGTTCAACTCCGGTGAGCTTGAGTGCCATCGGGCATGCGACAATACGACGATATGTCTTCTTGTTGTAAACCCAATACGTTTGTCGAACAGAATCCAGTGCGGTGCCATCCACATCAAGACCGATTTTATGCGCTGTTCTGGTTGTCTGAGCATGTACTATTGCTCGAAGGAGTGCCAAAGACGCGATTGGATGCACGGTGGCCACCGGGACTCATGTGCCCGTCGTCGCAAACTACACTACAGCAAGTGTCTCGGTTGCAATACATTCCGCCTACTGACGAATTTTCTTTAGTTGAACAACAGACTCTTAGGACACGGGACAAATCATTCCTACGCGCACTGATGGACCACGATTACATGGCAGCCAAGGAGGAAATATTCTATCGTCAAGTAAAATTCATGCGCGCGAATCCCTGCGACCAGTTCTACGTCGTGTTCGACTACAGTGGGGGTGAGGTCTCGATCACCGTAAAATCTACCTCCGACAACCCAGGATATTCAGAGGAACACTGGGAGGATTACACGTCGCGCGAGGAAGAGAGCGCCGGTCGGATGGAGTTGCATTTACTGGAAGTTGGTGGATTCGGCGCGGCCTATTGGATGGTTCCAATGCGCTCAGACAGTTCAAAGATTGAAGAGGGACTGGAGCGGATCGCAGCGACCGCGGGTCTGGATGAAATACAAGGCTCGGAACTGCAGGAATGCCCCCGCAACATTAGGGACGCGCTTGGGAGGCTGGCCGAGGAACAAGACGAGGAGGTGGTGTACATTCACTAGGTCGGAAGGAATGTTCCCGCGTAAATACATGTCGCATGCGGAGTTATATCTTGAATCTTCCCGATACTTGAGCTGCGTCACATCCTCGAGGATCAAATACTGACATGGTTAGTAAAGCATGGGCGAACTGAGAGAATTGACGGTCGATCACTGTCGACAATCGGTGCCTTGGGCTTCCACGATCCGGGGGGTTCAATGAACTTTTCGGGAATCAAATGTGAGAGCGAATCCCTTGTCCGCGTGAAAACGTCTCTAACCGGCATTTCCGGCGTAGCACCGGGTTCCTGCGCTGGCTCTCCCGCACAGTACGTAACAGGCCACAGATATTGCTCCCATTGGCCAGAGGTGCGGTGGGAGCCACCAGGCGTTTCGGATTGTAGTGATCTTTGAGCCGCCCTGATGCGGGGTCAGCCAGAGAACTAGACAGTGCGAGTGAATTGGTGGTACCCACGGAAGATCAAGGTAAAAGATCCGTGGGATAAAAACGAGCTGACGCATGTCGGGCCATCGGCCTGCTTTAGCCGATGGTTGGTCCCGGGCCTCCCGGATTCCTGCCGAGGCGAGCTTCCCCTGAGAGCATCCGGTTCCAAAGAAAGGACAGGCCGGCACCGGAAAGAGGGACAGAAAAGGAGGCTACAAGCAGAGGCCGACGCCCCACCCCTTGTTTTCCCGCTCACCATGTCGGACGACCCGCCCCCGCCGCCCATGATTATGGAGTTCGCCACGAACAGCGTGCGCAACACGACCATCGCAACCGCAGACGACGACCCGTATTATGAGATCGTCACGCGATTCTGGCACCCACACCTCACAAAGATCAACAAGCTCGACCCCGCCTCGCGCGCGATGACCACCGTGTGCGAAATCAACGGCAAGGGCAAGGAGGCCCGGATTCGCTTCGCGGAGGTGGATAGGCAGAGGTCGGACAAATCAGAGAAGAACGGAGACGCCTTGGGAGAATGGGTACCGAGCGAGACGATCCTGAAATTGGGACCAGAAAAGCCGTGCGTAACAGCCTGATGTCTGTGTGGCGATCAATGCCTGAGATCTGTTGTCCTTGAGTAGAGGAGGGATCTTCGTCGACGCCGATGGCGTGGAGTACCGGTGGAAAACGCACAACAGGAACTTTCTGGTGCGCAGTCTGCTCTGTCGTACTCGTTTGCTCATTGCTTCGCACGGGCAGCTCATACAATGCGGCGACGATGGCAGACTACCCATCGTGACCTATCATCCACACAAGCGCCATTTATTTGTCTGGCGCATGTCGCGGCATGCAAGTCTGGAAATCAAGCCCAACAAGATTAAAAATCTCGAAGGACTCATCGGTAGGTCACTTCTCCTTCGTCAGATTGGGCGTTCACTTGAGTCCAATAGCGAGCTATCTCTTGGTGGAGCGCCAGCGTCGTCACCACATCTAGCGTACCGTTCAGGAATTCCTATGTCGCCAAATGGACTACCTTGTATATTGGTCCTGTAACACAAACTCCCGTCACGGTGGATTTCAGCTCTCTTGCGGGGTAAAATAGATGTTCATATTTATTTGAAATGCAAGCGAGGCCTCTGCGAGTATGATTATTCAAGATTCTGACAAGCGAAATAAGGAGAAGAGATAATCCGGCACGCACGACTTGAATCTTGGTGTCGCCCATTCCCGTGGCAGACTCGGAGATTAGAGTCATCCAGTTTCTCTGCAGCCGCATGTGCCATAGGTGTGGGTCCATTCAACCGCACTCGTTTGTAAATCCCGTCGGCGCGCACCGCGACGGGAGGCTATAGCCTTGTGGAAGGCACTGAAGTCAAATCTGGGCTTGAAGGGGTCGGTCGAAGTGCGGACGCGGAGATTGTCGGATCAGACGCCACGTTAACGGGGTTGATCCGAGCCAGCGAGGGCCAAGTCCAGGCTCTCACCTTTGCTCTCACCTTTTTCCAAGAGGTGAGCGATCTCTGGATCAACCAATATGATCTGGCTAAGCGAAATCACTGATGGCTGCCTCGGAACATCGGAATTACAACCATGCGGGCGTGCTCTGCAGCGGAGGCTGTTGCTTCCTCCCTCCCTCTCCATGGCCAACTATGACCTAGGTTCCCTATTTGCTTGTGTACATAGCTACATACTACATGAAACATTGTCATTTGTGCACCATCACCGTGTCCTGGCGGCTGTTCGACCTCTATTTGCTCCAAAAGCCCCCAAGTGGGTTTCTTCGGCATGGATGCAGAGTAATGCACGGTAGGTAGGTAGGTAGGTAGGTAGGGGTACACGGCACGGTCCGAGTGAAGTGTTGGCACACGAGTGGCGTCGCGATACGAGGCCGCCACCGGCCATCATTCTCACGACCCCCCCTACCCCGTGAGAATTATTGGCTGATCCAGAGATCGCTCACCTCTTGCCTTTTTCACCTTGTGTCTCGGAGTTCCTCTGCGCTCTTTCTTGCTCCAAGTCAGAGCCCTCCTGCAACTCATACGAGTTGTATTCCGCTCGTCCGAACCTGCTCGGCAAGAGCTGCTGGCTAGGACTGCGCAATACTGAGTAACACCTCCGAGTCGTCGCCTCGTGGGATTTGTGGCACAATCTAGGCCGTCTTCAATTAAAAACATCTGTTTTGGCAATACCATTGGCAGCAGACTTTTGTGAACGGTCGGTCTCCTTGACGACGATCATCCAGCCGGGCTCACTGGGAAAATGAACATGTACTGACGAGAATGACCACTGTATCCCGCTCAACTCGGTCGATTCCCCAAGTTTTGCCCGGGACATTTCGACAAAGTTCTGGTAATGTCCTTACAACATATTTATTTGAGTTAGCGGAAGCAGGTTTCAAATGTCTGTCGCGCCTTGGTCGCGCTGATCCAAATGATGGAAGTATTTTGAATAACTATTTAACAACAAAGGCACTCGTATCGACCATTCCCACCGACCCCTCCACTCCTTTCCATTCCTTTCACAACACTCATAATGTCGCTGCTCACCAGGGCTATCCATTTATTGTCCGGATTCAACCATATTTGAACTCGCACCGATCGAGCTGAACCGCAGCGAGACAGCCAAGCTGCGTCGCTCCCGCGCGAGCTCAAATATCAAGTCATTAGGATACTGCCAGCCCTGGTTGAAGTTCACGAACGGGATCATCAGCATGCAGTGCCATGCACGAAAAAAGCGGTAGTCGCAGGTCGGGCGCGGGGAGTCGAACCCCGGTCTGTGGCTTAGTACAAACCCCGACAACTAAATGCAGCCGCCGTGCACCATGCACCACACCCGATATTTAGCTTTGAATGCAGCGCATAAAACTGAACTGCAGCAAACTGACTGATCGCACGCCTTTCGGATCTCTAAATCAACGGTACGGAGCCACGGCTCAAAGCCAGGGTTGAATTTAACGAGCGTAGCATTGCACGAGAAAAACATCCTGCTCTTCATTAGTATAAGTCGGGCGCGGGGAGTCGAACCCCAGTCTGCGGCTTGCAACTCACTTTTTCTAAGTGAAACCGCCGTGCACCGTGCACCACACCCGATGTTTGGCTTTGACCTCGCCGCAATGGAGAGGGCTGATTTGTACTGGAGCTGGTCGTGCGGAGTTTGGGATATCAAAATCAAGGAATGGTACGGAGCCACGACTGAGAATGGGTAAATTTAACGAGTGCAGCATGGGACGAAAAAATACCTAGGTCGTCCCCAGGTCGGGCGCGGGGAGTCGAACCCCGGTTCGCGGCTTGACGAAGAAAACAGGCTTCAAATGGAGCCCCGTGCACCGTGCACCACGCCCGATAATAATATCTGAACGCACCGGGATGAAGCTGGTCGAAAAAGTGAACTGGACACGACTCGGAGCTAGTCCGTTTTTAAGTGATGGGTCCCGATTGGGGTTGAGCCTTATTATATAATCACGTTTTGAGGCCCTTGCCCCCGCTCTTAAATCTTGGGAATATTCACGTCGTAAAGGAACAGTTGTTTAATGTGTGCGCAAATATTTCCATATTTTTGCGATGCCATGGGACAAAGCTATTGACGAGTCAAATTGATGGGTTTTGGCCCGTTGATGTCCCATCACATTGAAGGATGAGCCCCTGCACTCATTCAAGCGCCATTCAACAAATTTTAAAGAGACAGATCATTTTTAATATATACCAAATTTTAGTTCCACCCCAAGAAACTAGAGAAAGAGGTGCCGCATAGCGAAAACGGCACCAGGGCAGCTAAGCGAAGATTATGTAACAAGGGCCAACCCCAATCGGGACCCATCACTTAATAACAGACTTCAACACATCGAGGTACGAGATCATACCGTGTTGAAATCTGGCTCTGAGAGACTAACTCGGAGCTAATCGACGTTCGCGTCTCGGATCTCATCTTTCTTGTCCAGAGCCCTGATTCCTGAAACACGTCAAGGATCATCTGCATTGTTGATATGTGAAGGTTTTGTTGAATGCGGAGGATGATTGGTGCCTCGTTCTTATGGCGGGCGACGCGGGCGGGAAGTTGGAGGGTGAGTCCGGTACAGATAAATATTGACGCGTGGCAGGTGACGTAAGTAAAGGCGCTGCCGCGTGACGCTCCAGCTGGCAGCCAAACACAACCCCACACCCGCCTTTTGAATCTAACTTTCACAAGTCCCCACAGCTCTCTAGATCTGGCCACCGTCGCCCTCCCCGATGCACCAGGTCTTTGACCCACAGGGAGCGAACACGCGCCCCGTCCAACGCACAGCCGTCTGCGTCCGCGCAACTTCCCTTGCGCTGATCAGAGGCTAGAGCCTCAGCGCCGGGCGCGGCGCCGTCAACTCGCAATTCTGCGCTGCAATGTGCGTACATGGCGGTACACTCGTACGGTCTACCCCCGTGCGCCATCACTTCTCGATCGCTTACCCCGCCACGTCAGTATCGCTGGCGTGCAGAACCCGCCCGCTCTGCGCCACGCTCAAGTCTACTGTGCCGCATACCACGACTCGACTGCCCGCGTTCCGCATCGTGGGCGTGGCGAGGTGCCGCGGGTGCGCCTTATGCCATCTGCGCTCCACTCTCATCGACTCACGCGAGTCCGCGGAGCGGCTACAATGTGCGTACATCCCCTTTGCGCCGTCGCCTTCCCCGCGCTTCGCTTACCCCGCCACGCGGCTTCCTGCAGACCCCGCCCGCTCCGACGGCCGTATATACATCGCATTCCCGCACGCTCACGAACGCCCGCGCGCGCCGCCCCAAATTCCGCCACTGCGCCTGCGCATCCCCCGCGCGAGTGAACGCCCCTGCCGCGCGCGAATCGACTGCGGCGCATGCCACGGCTCAAATGCCACGTCGGCGTCGCGGTTAGCGGGTGCGCATCTCTATGCTTCTCGCAGCGTCCGCCTCATCCACGTCCGCGTCCCGTGTGCGCCACGGAACACCACCCATTCGCATCTGCCTCCGCCTCCAAACGCCGCTACGTCGCATGCGAACGCGCCGATACGCACGCGCACTCACCGGGGAGGACGCGAAGCGGAAGTCGCATCTGAAAAAGCGTCGGGGAGAGGGTGGCGAGCGGGCGGATTTGAAGGCCCGCGGACCTGCGTGGGGGCGGGGATTGGCGCCGTAGGCCGTAGGGGCGTCGTTCGTCGGGGGCGCGGGCGCGGGCGCGGTATCGATGTCGCTGGAAGGTCCCGAACCAGGAGTAGCCAGGAGTCTGGCTCGGGGCTGCAGGCAGTGAATGACCTTTTTTTTCCCGTGCAGCCACGCAGTCAGAAACGCGAACAGTTTTTGAGTATCGTTGAAGAATCCGATCAAATTCTCGGATAGTCTGATAGAGATATCAGAATCAGGTGGGGATGATCCGCTACACAAATCCAATACAGTCCATGTTGTACGGTTGGCGTCTAAATTGGCATGGGAATAATGCCAGCACTTCATAAAAGGAATGGCGGATGAATCGCCTTTTCGGTGCCCCCCATACTCGACATGTACATGATCAGGACCACTGCGACTGCGCTGCTCCTATTCCTAACTCAGGGTAAGTACCGCCGGCGAGAGGGACTCCGACTCATATTTTCCTCTGCCCCGCAGTCTCCGCACAGACCCTCTACATGGTGTCCGAGGAGATTCCGAGCTTCACGGAGATCGTGTCCGGGGCGACTACGCTATCCGTTGCTGGCGTTGGCGCGGACGGCTGGACTACATATGACTGGGGCGGCAGTGTAAGCCTCCAGGTGGAAGAGGAGCCAACCACGACATTTACAGCCATCAGCACGCCAGTCGGACTCGCCGGTTCGTCTCAAATTATATGCGGTACTATTGGCCCGTATCAGTGACGAGTCCCCTTTCAGGCCATTTCGAGGCCAATTCGGCTGGCTGGCGGGAGATAGGTGGTGCCATCAACGATACGTGCGCCTTCGGGTCTGACGGCCGGGGGACTTGTGTGGAAAGAATTGCACAGGCCTCGAGTACCCGTATTGTCACGATCTCTGGCAGCGTGGTTCCATTCTACACCCTTGGGGTCATACCCGGATCGTCCACGCCGACGCCCACGCCTACATCCAGTGCAGTTCCCAACCAACCGGCGACATCAACGACTCCGAACGGGGCGGCCGTGCGCACCATCCCCGCCCTGTGGATCACGGTGTCTTTCGTAGTTTGCGCGCTACCCTGCGTCCTCTAAATCCTGTGGAGAGCGATGATTAAAGGGATGATCCACCACCAGTGCTTACTGGAGGAACGATGTATTCACCAAATATGTGTGAATGTGTCGGTACTCAAAACATAGTTCCACTCAATCCCAGCAGATAGGCACCCTTCACATAATAGCAGCTTGCGAAGCGGGAAATGCCGGTGAACATAAGCATCGCGTTATATGGTCGTGTTGTGCCCTGCGCGTCGCGTAAATGTGTAACGTGTTTGTGACCCGACATCCTTTTGACCACAACCTTGCCAGAACCTCAGTGCGTACTCTGAGATATCTGGAATAGCCCCTCGATGAATTCCGGATGCAGGAATGTCGTCGAACAATCAATCCACGATACTGATCAGGATCCACGCCATCCGCCTTGCATCAACCTTGCATGCGCCCCGACAACGAGGTGAACTTCAAAGCGCTGGCGACAACGCTGCAAAGCATACGCAGCACGTGCGGCGCCATCCATACCGCATGCGCAAAGTGCTTCAAGAACGACGAGAATAGTCTAGAGATACAGCTGCGACAGTCTTCAAGCTATGAAGTCAACAATGGCTCTGAGTCGCGGCTCCACACCATTGGTTTAGAAGGCTCCGACGCCCGGCGTACGGCCAGCTCGTGTGAAATCAGCCTACTCAAATTCAGCTTCATCGGGACACGTTCAACGGTAAATATCGGCCGTGGTGCACGGTGCACGGCGGCTTCACTTACGGAAACCATGGTTGCTACGTCGCAGACCGGGGTTCGACTCCCCACGCCGGACTGACTTGACGAGAATGGCACTTTTTTGTGCATTCTGAGGATCCCACTCGTTAATTGTTAATGATTATTCTGGGCAATGGATCCATGGAAGGCATTGTTGAATTTAATATTTGAACTCGCGCGGTAACGATGAGCAGCTCATATCCAGTTCAGCTTGATCGGGGCCCATCCAAAGATAAATGTCGGGTGTGGTGCACGGTGCACGGTGGCTTCCTTTAGGTGAGCCATTGGCTGCGAGCCGCGGACCGCAGGATCCCTGGGCTGAAACCCGGGCTCGATAATCAGCTCATGCACAATTCACTTCGCTGCGGTTCAGGTTCATCGGGACACTTTCAGAGATAAATATCGGGCGTGGTGCACGGTGCACGGCGGCTTCATTTGGGGTGCTATTGGTTGTAAGCCGCAGACCGGGGTTCGACTCCCCGCGCCCCACCTGATGAGATGGCGTATTTTTTGTGCATGCTGATGATACACTCATTAAACTCACCCATGCCTCAGTCGTGGCTCCGTACCATTTATTTAGAGACCCGAGTTATGCGAGCAGTTTACTACAGCTCAGGTTTACCGCGTTGTGTTCAAAGATAAATATCGGGTGTGGTGCACGGTGCACGGCGGCGTTTCAAATGCCCACTGGCATGGGGGTTCGATTTTCCTTTGGCAACACATCTCGCTCTAGCTCTGGATCATCCGCATTGCAACAAAAAGTCCACATTCTCGCCTACGTCGAGCGCGGGGCGTCGAACAACCAATTATCCGCCGTATCCCCCAATTGAAGCCGCCATGAACCGTGTACCACCCCCAATATTTATCTCTGCGTGTGCCCGATGAAGCTGAAATGTAGCGAAGTGCTCTGTACATGAGCGG